CAGTGATGAGATTTTGAAAAGATATTTGGCACATATGTAGAGCTGATATAGCTCTATAAAGTTACCGGGTGGATTTTGTTAAAACCTCTTAGATAAAAAGTTATAGGCATTTAAAATTTTGAAACACTTCGTGTAACCGTTGAGTATAGGCTTCCAGCACCATATATAAATTAAAATTACTCATTGTTATATACTTTTCTAAGTGAAAAATATTCAGAACCTAAATAAATATATAATCATATATTTTTTAGACAAAATTTATTAATTATTAGAGCTTAGACATGCTTTGGACGCTCTTGAAACACTTGGACATTTGAAGGTTGGACATGGTCAAAAAAGCCTTGGACAGTGAAAAATATACAACACTGGTTAATTCGCCACCCAAAAATTTTTCAAAGTAAAAAATTAAGTTATTTAAATTAGGATCTGTAATTTATTATTAAGTTAGGGGCTTGAAATTATTTCTTATATCAAAAATTTGCAAGGAAAAATTTTTATTAGTGGGCAGAAGGTGGTTTCATAGACTAAATTTTGAGTTATGAGCGATTTTTGACAAAACAAACATTTGTTTGGTATAGATAATAATCGAACAATATATGTCGTACGTCGGAATGGGATTATTTTAGATTTAAAATGAGGCCGAGTTGTTAAAGAATTCCAATTCAACTTAAAACAAAATTAAATTATTTCATCGAGCACGTTGTCTTGGAATTTAAGTCGCTTTAAGATAGAGTTTATTTATAACATTGCGCATTGTAATAAATTAACTAAATTTAAAAGTATTACACGAAGTTTTTACATGATTAGTGGGCACTTTCAATTTTTTTACATTTACAATGATTTTTATCACACGCATTTTGCAATTGATTTAATCTTACTTACCTGTGAAGACGCATCTAGAACGCTTATGAACGTTGAAGAAATACTATCCAACTTGCGAATATCGATGAATAAAGTCAAATTTAATAAGTTCGATCTTTCGCATCCCCGATTATTGTGTTTGATGCAAAAATCAGTTTTCACGTGTTATAAAGGCTCTATTCGTCGATTTTTTGCTAAACCATTTGGAAAGCAATCTTCGAATGCATTACGAGGTAAAACTGAGATTCGGTCATCAGGTAAAATAAAATTTGCACAATATCGAACTTAAATTGCTATTTTAAATTTTAAACAATCATAAATAAATGAAGTAAAATTTTATTCGTTAATCACTATGACAAATAATCATTTCTTATATTATTTATAAAATAATAGCGAATCACAAATAAGTATTTTTGGACAATCATCACGTGGTCTCCACTTTCATTAATCTACTGCAAATCTTACGTTTTTGACAGTATTGTAGGGTATGTCTAGGTGTATCAAAAAAGTAAGTGCTGAAGTATCAAAAACGTATGTTTTGCTAATCTACTACTCGGAGATAGGATAACTCTAAGCGGACATTTACCCACGCAAATCGACAATGAATTCTTCGGAGGATCCATTACATCGAAATGGAATTGCACCTATCAAGCCAGAGTAATCAACGATTTTATTCATTCTCTTAAGCGAATTGTTGTTATTCCAAAGACAATTTTGAATATAGTATAATTCAATGTATATTCAATCAGATACATTATTAAAAAAGAAAATATAAGGAGAAATATCGTCACAGAAGCTACTTCTGAAGATACACAGGATGATACATCCAAGGTTGTATAATGAAACATATTAGTGTTCAAGAAATACGATACTATTAATAAAATTACAATTGCAATCCAAAAAAAGAAGGGTCGAATTACAAGAACACGTGAATCAAATAAACGATATAAGGAGCGTACAGTAAAGACTTTTACTGAAGTCAAACGCGTGAGCTGTCTATTCATCTTAGTATGTTCAATTGTCATATTTAGATTAACTCATATTTATTTATAATTTTAGTTATGTCATAAAACTGCAGTTGGAGAGGATTGCGATTTTGATCAGTATGTTTATAATACTGAACATGGATTATGTGAATTTCATATTTTTATTGGATAGTTTTACATCTTGATTTTTATGAACAGGTGTAAATACGATCATGATTTGAACGCGTTTTTGGAGATTAAGGAAGAAAATTTAGGAGATCGATGTGTGAATTTCGACAAATTTGGAAAGTAAGCATCAGTATTATTTAATTTATCATCACTAATAACTAAAAGTATATTACCTTCTTTTATTAAGATGTCGTTATGGATACAAGTGTCGATTTTCTAAGGCACATACGACTCCTGATGGAAAATTAATTGTAAATGAAAAGGTAAATTTAATTCATTTAACACCATGTTTATATGTTTTTCTGCTTTATTTATTGTAATTTATTTCTTAGCTTGCTTCATTAGGAATAGTCGAAGAAAAAAATGGTCTAACATATGAAATGCAAAGGCTTCTCAGGAAAAATTTGGTATATTATTAAAATTTTTAAATTAAATGAGTTGTTAATTAACATAACATTGTCTATATATTAGTATAGTTTTCCAAAATCTGATGTGTATATTACGGAAATTCAAGAAGAGATTTCGAAGCAATTGAAAATTCAGGAACAAAACAAATTAGCTAAATTGCAAGTTACAGGTTCTGTTATCGATAAAGGCGATCAAATTGTCATCTCACAAAGTCAAAATGTAACTGATACATCTTCAGTGGAAGAAAATATTCATTGTTCGACAACGGAACTCATTGATAAAAATTTGGGGCAAGCACTTAAAGATTATAAAGGAATTTTCGAAACAAAATCAGATGATATCACTTTAACCAATGACTTTGGAGAATCAAGTGATACTCCTGATGTACCACTTCGTGCCTGTGAAAAGAAAAAGGTATTTAAATATAATTGCTTTCAACTACTTTCATTTACCTGCTTTGTTAATTTTATTTTATTATCAAACTACAAAGATATCATTCAAAAACAAGTTATATCTTGCACCATTGACTACAGTCGGTAATCTTCCTTTTCGTCGCATATGTAAAGAATTTGGTGCTGATATTACATGCGGTGAAATGGCAATTGCCACAAATTTGCTTCAGGGGCAACAAAGCGAGTGGGCATTATTGAAAAGACATGTTAGTGAAGATATGTTTGGTGTTCAAATTTGTGGATGCAAGGCACAACATATGGTGAAATGTGCCGAGATATTGTCTAATGAGATTGAGGTTGATTTTATTGATGTCAATTTGGGATGTCCAATAGACTTGGTTTATAATAAGGTAAGATTTATTGAATATTTACAAACATTACAGAAAAAACGTGGCTTACATATTGTTTTGGACTTAGGGAGGAGGGACTGCACTTTTGCGGCACGATGGAAAATTAGGAAAGATTCTTCGGGGCATGAACAAAGTTAGTATAAACTAATTATTTATTCACGTTTGTTAATGTCCTCATCAAATTAATTAACTTTATCATCCCGTTAAAGGTTACGGATATACCAATTACTGTAAAACTGCGCACAGGTATTCAGGATGATATACCAGTTGCACATAAACTTGTGCCAAAATTCGAAAAATGGGTAAATATTATATTTAACACCATGTTTCAATTTGTTATTGACAAACGTACTGACATTTCTATTTAATATTTAATTATTAAGGGCGTGTCGATGGCTACGGTTAATATTCCATTTTACAACCAATTCCATTAAACCTTAAATATTCTAGATATTAAATTTACAAAATATATGTCCTATTTTATTGACCAAAAATAGTTACATGGCCGTTCACGCCAACAACGATATACTAAACTCGCTGATTGGCAATACATTTCTAAAGTCTCATATACCGTAAATGAGATGCCATTATTGGGTAATATAATACTGTAATTTTCTCGATTCCTTCTCATGAATATTAATTTTAAGTATTATTAGGCAATGGAGATGTTCTCGGATATACAGATTACTATGAACATATAGAAAAGCATCGCATTGATGGTATCATGATCGCACGTGGTGCTCTGGTGAGCAATCATATAAGTCTAAATATTGTCGATTATTTTTAAGTTTAAAAAATATCTCATCAACTTTTGTTGCAATCATAAAGATTAAACCTTGGATATTTGATGAAATCAAATCAAAGAGGCATTACGATATTTCATCTGGTGAAAGATTAGATATTTTGAGAAAGTATTGTAATTATGGAATGGAGCATTGGGGATCCGATTCTATAGTGAGTTATCATATCGTTCTTGGAATTTCCTGTTAGCAATTATGTTATGACGGTGTGATTTAAATCTTGCTAAATTTTTAGGGTATTAATCAGACTCGAAGATTTTTTTGCGAATGGATGAGTTTCCTATATAGGTACTTTGATTATTTTTATTATTAATTTTTGTAAATATTAAACATAACACTAATTAATTGTTTTTAGATATATTCCCGTCGGATTGCTTGAGGTCTTACCACAACGTATAAATGAGCGCCCTCCATCGTTCCGTGGGAGGGATGAGCTAGAAACTCTGTTGGCTAGTGAAAATAGTAACGATTGGGTAAAACTAAGGTGAATGTCAATTAATTTTAGCGACTGGTTTTGTAATATGTGACTAAGTGAATATCTTTTAATTTATATAGTGAGATGTTTTTAGGTCCAGCACATGAGAGTTTTAAATTTGTACCAAAACATGTCTCAAATTCTTATTCCTATGAAGGGTAGAAATAGATATTTATTGTGACGGATTAATATGAAATCAGTTTAAAATGAAATGAGTGATCAAATAGACAAGCCACCGAAAAATACAAATTTTTGAGATGCATTATTTAGGGTTAGGACTAGGGTTTAGGGTTAGAATTTATGATAATCAAGTATAAGTGGGTTTAGAGGGTTAAATAGAAATCCATCATTTTATTTTAATCTGATTTTATTATGATTTGCGACACTAATTAATTTATATTCTTTGATTTGTTTATATTAGGTCTTATTTTTTAATGATTATATTATATTATTTTGTATCATATACAATTAGATCTCTTTATAGTCATCTTTTTTATAGTCTTATTTACTTATAATTATAAATTTTTACAACAAACTTATGTAACATTTATAAATTTTAACCTTTATATAAGTACAAACTTTTTATAAGCACTAAATTTTTAAAATCAAAAGTGTAATTATAAAAATGTTTATTGTATTTTTGTATATTTAGCAAGTTATTAAATTTTATTTTTAGGATTTTGATAAATAATATGTATAATTTTTTTTTAATTTTGATGATTGGATTTTTAATTATTGTATTAGATATGTATTTTTTTTCTCTTAAACAGTTATAATATTTTATTTAATTATTTGAAATTATAAAATAATTATATAGTGTTACTAAAATGTTAGTTTGCTATTATTTGGTCATTTTTACAATATTTAAATATAAATTGTTGTATTAGTTTAAACAAATTTAGAATAATAATTTGTTTAATTTTGTCTTATAATAGAATACAATTAATCTAAAGACAATTTTTTATAAAGAAAAATAAGAAAAAAATATAAAACAAAACTAACAAAAAAAAATAAACTAACATAAAAAAAAACTTGCTAATTAAATAAAAATATTATTTTATAATATTTTTCTTATTATTATATGTTTACATTTTTATAATTAATTTTAAACTAGTTATTTTTTTAAAAATTAAATACTCTTAATTAAATAAGAATAAAAAAAAAATCTTTAATTTATAAGTAATTAAAATGGTGTATTAAAATACAAAATATATATTTTTTTAATATTAAAGTAAGTAATTATAATCTAAAATTTTATTGATAGTATGTTTTAGCTAATAGTTATATTACAATTACAAAAGGCAACTATAAAAAAATATACAGCTAGCCACTTATACAACTTTAGTTATTATCTGATTTAAGTAGTCTATCTAAAGATTTTATACTAGTTGCTATATCTTAAATTTAGATCTTTTAAGTTTGTTTACTTTAAGTAAACTTAAAGTAAACAAACTCAAAAGATTTGACCAAATTTATAGCTTAAAAATTTTATTAATAATCATTATTTAAATAAATCAAATATATTTTTATAATTATAAAGAATATATTTATAAAATTTTAGAATTGTTTATTGAATTTAATTATTTATAATTAGTAATTATGTTTTAAAAATTTGGAATTTGTTCAAATTTGATTAGCATGTATACTTATTTATCTATTTAATTTTTTTTTTAACTTTGACAGCTTTGTCATTTACCTTTATTAAGTATTTAATATATATATTAATGTATACAGTTATGCTTAAATTTTGGTTCAATATTCTTTAGCTGTTTCAAAAGTGCCCAAAGGCAGTTTGTTGCACTGGTTGAAAATTTATTCAGATCTGGAAGCTATATCAAGTTAATCTTTGAGACTATAAAAAAAAACCTTACATTATTATTAACAAAATTTCTAACTAATTCTAGTTATAATTCTTGTATTCTATTACTATCCTTCTTATTTGTCTATTCTATTAACTACTCAATTATTACTAATACAAATATATTATAATTATAAAGTTTTTAAAGCAGTTTATTTATATAAGAAACCTTTAACTTTTTACTAAACCTATTGAAACCTTTTGTATTTTATACTTATAACTGCCTTGATATTGTTATAGTTAAAACCAATACTTGCAATCAGAACTAACCATTAAACTGTTATATCTTTATAAAATTTATTCAAATTTCAATACCTATTTTTTTGATATCTTTTTATTATTTTTTACTAACTATTATTCAGAATTAATAGAACTTTTTAGATTACTAATTTAGATGGCCTAATATAATATACTTTTGTATTCTTTTTTTATAATAATCTTAGCAATTTAATAAGTTATATGCTTTTTTTATATACTATTACAGGGTTGTAGCCTTCTTGGTACAATACAACCAAGTAACAAGGTCATCCAGTACAGTGATTGACTATTGCAAATATATACAGAATGGAGGTATAGTAGTTTACTTTACTATACAGCAGCAGGCAAATGGTTCAAAATAGTAACAGTATATAGATTAACTTTTATTAAACAAATACACAGTGACAACCTTGCCTGTAGGAATTACCCTAGAGGGAGAATATTACTTTTACAAGTTAGGGGTAAAGATAAAAGGGTCTAGGTTGAAGTATAGGAACTTAGAATTGGCAGGGAAGAGTAAAAACTACTCTTTATATATCTTTTTACCTAGTAGAGATAGTGGGGATTTAAGCAACATTACTTGATACTGTACTTGGAGTAATGGAGGTTTGAACAATATTAGATATTATTGTAGTTGGGATAGTAAAGGTTCGAACAACATTAGATAATACTATGCTTGGAGTAGTGAGAACTGTGCAGAGGCAACTGGGGATATTGTTTATATCATTTGTCATTTGTGCTTGAAACATTTGGGGCTTATGTTTAGGCACTTGGATCTGTGCAAAGGCACTTGAGATTTGTGCAGAGATACTTGGAGTTCGTGTGAAGACACTTGAGGTTCATGTTAGGGATACTTAAAATTCTTGTGCTCGGCACTTGGCACAGTAATTTGATGCTAAGATATATGAAACTTGTACAGAGGTACTTAGGGTTTGTAAGATGATAGTAACATCACAGATGTTATTTAGTGTCATGTGGCTGTACCACATTGCTAATAGCCAATTAAGATCCTTTTTATCTATCTACTATATAATATAACTATC